TGGTGTTCATGTGGGGAAGGGCCATTCGAGTCTGCAGCTGCAGTCCCCGCTCCGGGAATCGCACTTGCATGCGTCAATATTATTCAGGCCTAGGCAGTAGGAGTGCAAGTGGGGAAAGTGACAACTGGTTCCGGAAAGAGCTGTGACGTATCACCACGATAATAATACTGGCTTCTGCAGGAACCTATGTGTTAGCATTCGTACTTCTAGGTGTGAAAGAGACCTAAGGATTGGATATTTAGTCATGTAAAACAAATATAAATGTATTTCGTAAATTATGAGTGAGCGGTCAATTATACCGGTGCTTGTGGGTTTTCATCACACATTTATGCTATAATTCACTAACTTTAGTTGAAATTACTGATATTATTTACTGAAATGATTCCTATGTTGAGATACTTTTGTGGTATTGACGTAAATTCTTATTTAGATGAGGCAATAAGAAGACGTTATTTGTCAGAATTGTGTAATGTATCTTCGCAACACAGTTCTAACAATCTGATCGCACACGGACTTCTCATAGGAATATGTGTGAAATTATTAAAGAGTTGAGAGGAGAGAAAATAGAATTAGGTCTGTAGCGGTAAATAATTCCCCAAAATTATTGACCACAGCAATCACTCATTGGATGCTGACCACCACTGTTTAAGTCGACTTGTTTAGCTGAAGGCTTCCGGTCAAGCATCCCCGCCATTTGGTACCCCGTCGTGTAACGTGCACGATCACTAGCTAGCTAAGCGTTTGTCTGAAGGCTTGTTTTGGTCCCAAAATATATCTCTTGGTTTGGACGATCAATATTGGCTTTTGCTTTGTTGTTGGTACGCGAGAATAAATTAATTAGAAGTTGCTGAACGAGATATCCGTCAACCTTAAACTGGTGAGCCCAACCGCGAACTTCATCCACGATAAATCCGCAGATAACCCCGGTGAGTTCGTTCCATTTTGTATTTGTTCTTGTACCATATATTATTCGACATAATTTTCGTCATGAGTGATCTTAGTCCCAAGGTCATCCGTATCCGCTCAACTCCTAAAACCATTCAGCTCGTACCATACTGGCCAGATAATGCTGAAACGTGGTTTCTGCTAGCTGAAGCAGATTTTTGTGAGCATGGGATAACCGATCAACGTTCACAGTTACTTGCAGTTATTCACGCCCTACCGCGGGAATTCAGCAAGTACGTAACATCACAGATGTTGAGTCCCGAGGTAAGTAACTCGTACGAGTTGCTCAAAGCATCCCTCCTCAGGAGAAACGTTCTCACGGACCGACAACGTCTAGATGAATTATTTCGTAACATCGAGTTAGGAGATCAGTCAGCCGTGAGCATGCTGACAAGAATGAAAGAAGTCGTCGGCCAAAGTCAGTTCGACGAAGGACTGTTTAGAGAACTCTTCTTAACCAAGCTGCCACAGTCTGTACAGACCGTACTTGTGACACTTCAGGGTACTGTAATAGAGGACTTAGCTATTACTGCAGATAGGATTCTAGAAATAACTAAACGGTCTGTTCCCGAAATATGCTCGATGACTAAGCAGACTTCGAGTAAGGATCCTGCAATGATAGAGTTATGCAACTCCATCCAGCAGATGTTTAGGTCGAACATGCATTCTAACTCCTCCGACCGTCGTCCTAAATCTCCTCAACGCAGGAACTCACGTGGTCGATCTAAGTCCAAACCACGTTCACTGAAAAACCCTGACTGGTGCTGGTACCACAACACCTATGGCCAAGAAGCGAAGTGTTGCCGTAAGCCTTGTAACTTCGGAAATGTCTCAAAGTCTGTGGGAAACTATCCCGCCGGCACGCGTTAGCGGCAACCGTCGCCGGTGGCACTAGCCGCCTACTTTACATCCATGATGTGATAAGCCAGACTCGATACTTAGTCGACACAGGCGCCGAAGTCAGCGTCCTTCCTGCTACAGCAGCAGATCGACAGAAGGAACCTACCTTCAACTTACAGGCTGCAAATGGAAAACCAATCGCAACCTTTGGTAGGAAATACGTCTATCTGAACGTAGGTTTACGCAAACCTATTCGGTGGATTTTCCTTCTCGCTGACGTTACAATGCCCATCATTGGCACGGACCTACTTAATCATCATGATTTACTCGTAGACGTCCGCCGAAAACGACTGATTGACAATACTACTAGTCTGTCTATCAAAGGCATCAGCTACATAGGCCCTAGTTTGTCACCCGTTAAGATAAAGGCAATTCTTGATCCAACTTTTCAACCTATGTTGACAAGTATCCGGAACTTAACTGCCCGTCGAACGACCTACCGTGCATAACCAGCAATGTTATGCACCACATCATTACCACAGGACAACCTGTGACATCTAAAGCACGACGATTAGCTCCTGACAAACTGAGAATCGCCAGGAATGAATTTGACCATATGCTTACCCTTGGCATCATTCGACCTTCGAATAGCCCATGGGCATCCCCACTTCATATGGTTCCGAAAAAGGATAGCAATGATTGGCGACCCACCGGTGATTACCGGCGAGTGAATGCCAAAACAACCCCTGATTGCTACCCGTTGCCTCATATACACGACTTGACGGCAACCTTATCCGGCGCGACTATATTCTCCAAAATCGACTTGGTTAAAGCGTATAACCAAATCCCGATGGCAACAGAAGATATCCCGAAAACGGCTATCATTACGCCTTTCGGACTTTTTGAATTTCTACGTATGCCATTCGGTCTTCGGAATGCAGCCCAAACATTCCAACGCTTCATTGACGAAGTATTTCGCGGTCTCGACTTTGTATACGCATACTTAGACGACTGCCTCATTGCCAGTCCAGACAAGGAAACTCACCTTAGGCACTTGGACTTGGCATTTGAAAGGTTACGCCAACATGGTGTTACCATTAATATTCAAAAGTGTCAAATCGGTGTTGACTCACTCGACTTTCTGGGTCACACTATTGACTGCAAGGGCATTCGCCCACTGGCTACTAAGGTCGAGGCTATACTGAACTTTCCAGAGCCACAGACAGTGAAAAGTCTCCGCACTTTTAACGGCTTAGTAAGTTATTATCGACGCTTTATTCCCAACTGTGCCTCTTTGATTCAGCCATTGACAGACCTCCTTCGAGGGAATAACAAGTCCATAGAACTTGACGCGTCTGCTCGAAATGCTTTTACCCAGATTAAAAAAGCTATTGCGAATGCCACACTTCTGATGTATCAGGATCCAACGGCACCGTTAAGTATCTCGGTTGATGCATCAAACACTGCAATCGGCGCAGTTCTACAACAGCTAGTTGACAAAGAGTGGCAACCACTTGCCTTTTTCTCCGGCGCCTTCAATTAGCTGAAACGAAGTACAGCACATTCGGCAGAGAACTTCTGGCTATGTACTGTGCTATACGACATTTTAGACATTCGGTAGAGGGTCGTGAATTTATAATTTTTACTGATCACAAACCTCTGACGTACTCTCTGAACTCACCTTCAGATAAGTATTCACCCAGGGAATCACGACAACTGGATTACGTCTCACAGTTTACATCAGATATTCGCCATGTATCCGGAGTAAACAACACTGTGGCAGATGCCTTGTCGCGCGTTTGTTCCCTCACCCAAGCATGTACACAGGTTACCGTTTGCTTTACCTGAAATCATGAAGCAGAAGTTTACGCAGGTGGAAATCTCGGAGCCTGACAGTGGTGCAATGCGTTTTTTTCATGGGAAGATGATATCTTAGACTAGTCCCCTGGGGACCGAATGACGTCACATCCTTGCGTTACAATACCATTACGCACTAGAGCAAACGTTTCGTTGTTGAAGATTTCGCTGAGGTTCGCTAGTAACCATGGTCTCAAAGGAGTGGATTTGGACCAGTTTCTGTGACATTGGTTGTGTCTTATCTATTTCAGAGAGTGGGGCCGTCAAAAGGTTTATTGAGCAACTAAATTAATTAATTAATTACCATAAGAAGTTTTAAACTGAAAAGATGCAAAACAACGGGCTAGTAAGATCTATTATAGTGCGAATGAAACAAGGAGAGGCTGAGAACCAAAAATTATAATTAAGGGTAGGATTATGCAAAATTTCTACCATAACTCCTACACCTCAAACGTGTCTAGACATAGCCGTGAATTGATGTATTTGAAGGCATCTTGACCCACCTACGGAGATTTTGCAATTGTTGTCTTTTGTCACTGACCCATGTATCGTCACTCTCACGTTTGCATGTTACACTTTAACTGGATTACTACTATCTTATACTACCTCGTGTTATAAACCGAAAGTTTATTTCATAATAAGGTGTCCTAAGGGTTTAAAATGGATGTACTTATGATACTGCTTTCTTTTCAGGCGCCATCATACCGGGGGAGATATGACTTAGTGACGACCTCATCCTAATCTGACGAAGCTCACAGATCGGCTGATAAGTTGGCAATAAGATTTATTAAAAGTGGGTAAGATGACCTGATCTGCTTCAGCCGTCACATATAAAAGCTAGATGGTTAATTAATTATTTGTTCTCTACCCATTTTCCTACTTCAGACTGACCATCCTAAATTCCGGCTGGGAAAAGTACATAATTCATGGTGGATCTTTCTCCTTGTTTAATGCTTTGCTACAGTGGCCATCAATAGGAATTTTTGAGGCAATAATACTTTTAAAGAGATCTGGCTCTTCGTAGAAACAGATACTGGAGGATATATTACCGGCTTACTGTATTGCCATCTATATTGCTGAAAGAAGACTACTTTCTGTTGTGCCCTATGATTCAAAATATTTATTTAAAAAACTGTTTTGAAATGTTGCTTTTAGGTATTTTATAGTTTTCGCCAGATTGTTTTAAAATATTTTGTAGATTTACTTCGCAAAATCGAAATTTGCTATCTGTCTGGGATTGAACCCAGGTGTTGTTTGAACACGCTACTTTTGCATCAACTCATTGAACCGGCAGTTTCACAGCCGTCAATATAACCTTCGATCAGCTGGGAGTATATATAGGATTAATTGTGTCGCAGGAGGGTCGTGCATTTTGATGCAATAGGTAAATGAGACTTTATAGTACTGTATTCATATTTAGTATTTTTTCTCCAATAATACACATTCTAATATATAGTATATGGTGTTTTTCTAGTCACTCATATATTTAGTTTCACTGAACTGTCTGCTTGGTTTTTGTAAAATAATAAATGCCAACGCAAGTAACCTGTCTTATGTTTGTGTATCTAGTGGTCGGTACAACAATTATGCAACTGCGATACGGTTTTTTGGGGGGAAGGGGTGTTACCCAATATTGCTGCAGTTTCCAGAAAATATTATAACATACCACTATAGTGGCACACAAAATTTTATTTCACTTAAAATATTTTGTAGTATATATTGTGTGCTGATTTTCAGCATTTTTCGGTAGAATTACTTCATTTTTCTTTGTGTCGTGCAATTAATTAATTTAATATTTCTTCATCATGATTCCTGCAATACAATATTGTATCTTCAGATGCATACTGCTTTTATTTCAGAAATATTTAAGTTCCGTATTCTTCTGTCCAGTATATGATTCTAATGTTTGATGATATTAAAAGACTCTGTGCAAGTTGCTGCGGGAACCTCTTGTTTTTTTCTTAATAGTTAACCTTGATTAAGCGACATATATTTCAAGACCTCATAGTGAAATAGCACAGATCTCCCTCGCCCAGTCACTATACATTCACACACTTTTAGATAGGTCCTTGGCGGCATCAGATTAATACACAGAATTTGAAACACTGATATACTAACGAACTTTTTGCACAGCGACTATTTATAATGTTTTCAACTAAACATTTCATTATTTTGTATTAATTTCTCTCTGTAACAGAGTGATATGTTATTCACATAGTAGTCAACTTCCTGTTATATTTTGTAGTTATCACTTTTCTCAGTCACTGTCTTGTAGAATGGTTTATATTAGTAAGAAAGACTGTAGGCTTTCCAATATCTAATACTTCTAACCCAAAGTTAGCTAAATTACCCTGAGAATCTTTTGCTTCAAATTGCTTCTCTTCGGTTACACTTGTAATTACCTGTGACTGAATTAATTCAAAAACCAGAGTCGACACTGAAACATTTAGCATTTCTTGAAAGTTCTTAGAGCTCTACCTTAATCATAAATTTAGGCTTTTAGATAATTATTTATGAATATAACTGCGCTAAATACGTAAACATGGAATTTCATATGGATGTCCTGCTGAAAATCTGAAGGTGGTGACCGAAGAATCTAAATGATATGGCTGACAGTTATACTCAACTGCTCAGACCTATTAGAAGTCTTTCTTATCTTTATATTTTAGTATAATTTTATTTCTACTTTTCTTTGTATCTGTGTGACATTTAGAGTTTTAATTATATTTCACTTAAATTTTTAATGCAATGGTGTTATTTTTATTGACAGTTTCTGCCCTTGACGTAGCTTTAATCAACTAAAGTTTACTTCTCCGTATTTCGGAAGTGACATTTACTTTAAGAGTGCGAGTCCATTATATGATTCAGAGCTGTTATTATTATTGCATTAAATTTTTCCCAAAACTACTTAAACTGTGTTCATTTGTTATATGAAAATCTTATTGGGCATAACATATTTGTCAATAAATTTAAAAACAGTTCCGAGAGTTGAGTAATGATTCCTTATTAAATACCATGATTCCTCTAATATATTTATTCACAAGTTGGTTTTTTTTGACTTGATTGCATTATCAATCGTCATCTTTAGGTACATACATGTTCTGTAAATATACAACTAAGCTACAATTTCATGTCTGGATTGACTTCCTGCAAACTCTTCATACTAATGCTTGGGAAGAGCTGTGGGCTTAATTGACCGCAAAAGCCATTCCACAGTTAATAGTCCAGTCTACGTCACATTGAGAATTATTTTCATCTCATGCTGATTTGTACTTTTATGTTCCGGATAACTTTGGTATTCGGAACCCTGCTGTCCAAATTATTTAATTTGTTTTCAAAAGCATATAGTTCATTGAATAATTGAGGAGGGTTATTTTTATTATAATTTCACTTGTAACTGACAGGGAGATATTCATGTAGGACTCACTAAAATGTTGGAAAAAGTAGATTTGTGTTGAGTAATACTAAAATGTAATGAAGAGACTACTTTAATGTCAAAAGTATTGTTATGGGGGTTTAATGAGTCATACCCTCTGTATGCTTTTTATATCACCGGGGAATAAGTATATTTATACTTCGAAATGTTAGAACTTTCCACCTCTATTGGAATCACATTATTTATGGTATGGATAATGTAGAGTGTAAGCATTGTAAATTACCAATGAGTAACTTAGAAAAATAATTGTCTACATTACAATTTCAAAATTTTACCATCTCTTACGAATACTACTACATGTATAGGCGATTACTTTAATTATCCAGTATCTTTGCTACTGTTGTAGATGTTGGTCATGGTATTTTATAATATACAAATTGATGCATTACTACTGGAACTTGAACTACAAATATTTCAAATACGCTCAAAGTTTCGTTCATCAAAAAAGTGATCTGAACTTTGACTAAATTTCAGCATAGTTATGTTGGATGCTTTATGAATTGCATTCAATAAACTGGCAGTTATGGTATATCATCAGTAGAGTGTACTGCACTGGATTCCTTTGTACTACAAATCGAAATATGCCTTGAAGATGTCATCTAGAAGAACAGTGAAAGCTTCTAGGTCAGAGAAGGTAATTGCACCAATACCAACCACCTAAGCTGCATTATACTTCTCTATCATATATAAATAAACAACATTACAGGTTTCTCATGTGAATTTTTCAAGAAGTGATCACTATTGAAACCTGTCTAACAACAGTACATCTTACAGCCAACTTAAAGAACTTTTGTTAAACTGGTGCTATCTGAAAACACCCAATTCACTACCTCGAAATGATGTCGAGGTTAATATCAGCAATTCTTAAAAAATGTTCGCCATACATTAGACTAAGTGTAGAAAGTTTATTTACTTACACTTATGTAGTTCATAATATTGTATTTTGATATTGGTTATTTGGAAGTGATTGGGAGATAGCGTTGAACATGGGTCTCGTGCTTGGTGGCACTCTTCAGCAAGGTATATCTGGAATCTTGAAGGAACTTATGTTCCGTCTGAGATTCGGACCTGCGTTGGCCAGTGCTGCATTTAGAGACTTGACTACTAAGTTATTCAGACTTGCGACTGATCTCCTTTAGGACTTTTATAGATGCTTTAAATTGCCATTCGGCAGTAAGTAATGTGTCATTCGTCTCGTTCTTAATTTTAGTGCAGATTGAATTCTTTTAATCAGTATGGTCACACCAAGCTAGGTGGCTCACCATCACAGTTCACTCTGAATTGACATTAGACGGTTGGATGTAATCATTTATACATTTCTTTGTGTTCGTAATATAAATCTAGTTTTTATATATCAAGTTTCATTCATCAGTTCCTTTCATGTGCAACTATTTTAGACTATCAATCTGTTTTTGCTTTTAATTCATTAGAATAACTAAACTCGTTGACTAGTTGCTGTTCATAGCTGTAAAAGTATTTTGTTTGCACAAAACGTATATAATTCTGTCCTAATTTCATTAACTACGAGCTTGAGTTTTTCTTTTCTTAAGAGGTTTATTTTTACATAACTTTCAGTTGTCTTGTAGTCTGACAGCATGAATATCGACTTTACTTTTATCATCATGGGTTCCTAATACCGTTAAATATCTTACTTATTTACACATTCGGGTGGAATCCGAATGGGTGGTGATGAGTTCTTCGGTGAGGATGTCTGTCTGTCTCTGTCTGGTTTCAAAATAGAACTTTGCACCGGTGTGCAGCTGTTCGAATCATCACACTTCACTCAGCACACAAAGCCCGAGAAAAAAGTAAAAAGAAACGCAAAATAGAGATAGTAAGCAGAGATATGAGGCAAAAAGAATAGTAATGGGGAAGAACAATATGGTTTTATTGGAAATTGTGAGTCACAAGGAGTGAGTGAATCTGCGCCACTGAGAACGATTTTGAGCTGTATCACCAATTGTCTCCAGCCATTGCTTTTACCGTACCGTGGAACCCAACCAGTCAGGGAATCCACATCTCCCTACGTGGATGCTTATTCTACCTGTTATGGATATCACTGACTGATAAAGCCATGTTTTGGTTTGACCACCACTAGCTTTTTCAAACCTGATCCTATGTCAGTCAGCTAAGATTGCCCATCGAGAAGGCGATGGGTGAGGATGACAAAGAGGAGGGAATGAAACTTTATGGACAATCATCGAGCCAGCTTAGAAAAGACTACAGACAGGGAACAAAGTGAAATGGAGATGTACTGGCGAAGCCCTATATTCCAGTTGGGACTCAAATGAATAATAATAGTATTATAATAATACATACAATGATGTTATTTCCATGTATTTGTCTTTTTGAATATAAGTGGTTAAACGTATTTAATTGTTACTTTTTTCTCTTAAATCTTTTATCTCTTTATTAGAACACTGTCATGGTGAAGACATTTCAAGTCTATTTAGGAGCACAAGGAAGTAGTTCTACACGTAGTAATAGTAGCAATAGTAGTTGCAGTAATAGCAGTGATACGGATGATCGAACCTACAGTTGTGTACATTGTCGTGCACATCTTGCTCGTCATCAAGATCTTATCTCAAAATCATTTCAAGGAAGTCAAGGACGTGCTTACTTATTTGATACAGTTGTCAATGTATCATGTGGAAAACCTGAAGAAAGACTTCTACTCACTGGTAAATTTTGAATAATTTATTTTTTTATATATTTTTTGATAAATTTTTGATTTTTCGTGTGTGTGTGAGTGTGAAATGGTAGTTTTATATTTTTAATAAGTCGTCTATGAAGCTAAGTATCATCCACTAGGTTAGTACATATAAACACCTTATCTTATTTTAAGGTTACTTTTTGAGGTGAAGTGACAAACGGGTGTATGCTGAAGTTTAGAACATTTAGATCTTGAGACTAGTAGGTTGGTCTGTTTACTCACTTGATTAGTATGTATCTTATTTTATTCATTTATCACGAAGTTTCTTTAATGCTTTCTATTTCATAGTAAAATATAAACTGTAAGAGCTACAGTGCATCTGAAATATACTTATGATTACTGTTTTTTTTAAACATTCAAGAGGATGTATGTACAGAATGATAAGTTCATTTGATTGTTCACAGCAGTCTGATTCTAAAGTTTAGCCGTGTTTATAAGGTGAATACATAACCAGGAGTAAAGATAACTAGAGCATTAACGAAAAGTTGTTTTGTCCTAGTTTACAGCTTTTTAGCAGTACACTCTCATTACCTCCATTGGGGAGTGAACTCAGGACCTTCAGTTTTGCGGTGAGCCCGTTAATCATTCAGCCAATTAGACGGAATTCAACAACTCGTAAATCCTAACTTTGTCAGTTTGCAATTTATATGACACAATGTCATTGGCGAGTCTAGGTGACCAGCGTTAACCACTTATTATTGATATTATCATTCCCTTAGGTTTCGAGCAGAATATACAGCTTCTACGACATATATCCGCTTCCCTCTATTCTCTTTTGTTCTCCCCACCGGGGTCCACGATTGCCCATAATCTCTTCAATATCACCCTCGCACGGACAACCCACTTCTCATTTCCCATCGGGATTCCAATCCATAGCCTGGTGCGCGTTGTGATTAAACAGCTTCCTCAATGTATGCCCGCTCCATTTCTGTTTTCCCCTTCCCATCTGTTGAGCAAGCGGCTCTTGGTTGGTTTATTGCCTGACAGGGTTTTTTGCTGCTTATTATTTCTGGCCAGCGTAAACTACAATAATGTTTCATTACATTTTCGTCCAATCTGAGTCCTAAAACTAGATAAATGAGGTACTTCTACAGGGTGTTACTTTAATTCATCAGTTAAATATTCTTATATCTATGATGTGTCATGAATAGTTTTTGATTACTTTTTTCTTGTCTCTTTTGAACATTCGGTTAGAGGGTAACCTAAGGGTTTTTTTCATGAGCTTGTGTTTTTGTCGGATTTGAAATAACTTACTATATATTCAAAGTGAGTCTGTGGTTCCGTAGAGTGGAATACTCGTCAGCAATGCCACACATGAGTCGAGTTCGATTTCCGGCCGACGAACTCCTAAATCCTCGCTTAGTCAATAGTCAGCTTTGTAAAGACAGAAGGTTGACTTTAAGACTGGCAACTTTATTCCATGAAAATAATACCACCATTACTCAGACTCCGACGCTTGAAGTCCTTGAAGTTTCACTGAAAACTGAAAAGATGGAAAACAATATTCCAATTATAGTGATTTGATCATGACAGTTCACAGTTTCAACACTGCCAAACCAAACTTTATACATTTCTATTTCTTTCGGCACAACTGTGTCTTATCAGTCATGAGTTTTAACTCTGTTCTGACTGCCTTAGTTTTAAAGACTAAGTTATGTCCTTAACTATTCTAAAATAGGTGTGGTTCTTTCAAAAATCCGTATATATCTACTTCTAGTCTCTATCTTGCCTAAAAATTTCTATTGTAGTAGTATTTGTTGTATGTATATATTGTTTTCCTACCCACAAACTGGACATTATTTATTTTCATTTATTTGATTGGTTTTTTTTCACTACTAAACGAAAACTTCATCTATAAGTTTACGATTATCAAATATCCAATTTCATTATGTTAGTTTAAGTATTCTGTTGAATAATATTATTAGGGGGAAAGTTAAAGGAGTAGGAAATTGGTGTTTTTAGAAAAATGTTTCTTAAACCGCTGATAATAATTTGTTTATTTAATGATATTATTGACTGTTGGTTTGCAGGGATTTGATTGGTTACAGGTTTGGTCATGATTGGACATCAGTTAGAGAACCATTGGAAAATCACCTGGGGATACTGGAGAGCAGTGCGCATCCACGGAGGTTCAAACCCAACAGCTTACGGTCACAAGGCGAGCTTGTAGATCATCCAACCACTTAGACCTGATCCAATGGTCTTCTAAATGATGTTAACTCGTGATATAACCTATTTACTATATGCCGAGTAATACAATAATTTTATATTGCGTAACTACAATACCATATAGCATAAATGCTGTTCTGTAGATTAGTTGTTATTTATAAAGGAGTATCGGTAAAAATTTGAAAAAATACCCAACCGGATAAGAGAAAATATAAGCAAGAATGAGTGCATCGGTGGTTCTTTGGTGGGGGAGGGAATGCTTGCCAACCACGTCACACTTGTCCTGGTTCGATTTCCGGTCGACTCACTACCAAACCGTGTCTAGCTAGACAATAGGAAGCTTGTGAAGGAGGGAAGGTTAGGTGGGAGGCTGGCGACCCCCTTAACGCCACCGCTGCTATTGAGACTTCGAAAGGGTAAATCTGGAAGGTGTGTATATTCCACTTGGAATGCAAAGGAATGAAAAGAGCCTCTCTCTCTCGGCCATATGTATGCATATTTAGCACATCAACTACATTCACTCTGGAATCATAGAACATAAAATATGGAAATGAAAAATATAACAATTTAAACTCTGAGGTTAGAAAAAGAATAAATGTAATTTGCAGTCCTTAGCATGAGAGCGATATTTTCTAGGATTAAACTATTTTTAAGTCGACACTAACTAGTGTCATGTGTCTAGTCCTTTGTTTACTGCAAACTGAATTCTATCAGTCAAGTTCGCAGTGTGGCCACCATGATAGGTGACTCGCCATCATGGTGATTGGAAGCAGTTGGAAGGAAACCTTGGACCTAGGTGCCAACAAGCACGAAACCTAGGTCCAGGACTTCCTGCCGATTGCCACCAACCATCTAATTAGATTAAACTATTCTATGACGTCTCCACCCCTTATTTATCCACAGTAATAGTGTGTATTAGAAGCCATTTATATTACACCGTAATAATGATAGCTTGATGGTATTCATGGAACTCTTTTAGATAATTAATTTATCGAATAAATAAAAATATTAGCTTTTACTAATGTTGTCTGTCTGTCTGTTTTCGACTAATGTTGTATTATTCTTGAGTCACACAATATTTGTTTTGTAAATCAAGTGCATACCACTACCACTACTACTATAATGTTCGTTAGTTTTCAATTAAACAGAATTACTTTCTTATTTAAGTCAACCTGTACTACTTTTATTGAAGAGTACTATGCTAAGCGTGAGATGATCTACTCTTGAAAATGGATCATGTGCTGACATCATCTAGATAACCGTTAAAAACCAGGCGACTACTGAAACAGTATTTCGTCATAGTTTAAGGTTATCCGACAGTACGCATGTATGCATGCACTGAGGGATTCAACTCAGCTTCTTGATCGTTGAGGCATTAGGATGGAATTTAATGACTCGAAAATTATAATTTCTTTAGTTAACCATATAAATGATGCAATCAGCAATCATTGTCATTGGCGAGTACTTTTTCGTACTCAAAGACTTGGCGGACCTCACGCTCACCAAGAGTGATCATGCCTTCTCACCAGGTGTTTATTCAGGTGTTGGTTTACAGGAGTTTAATTGAAATATCTACATACAACTAGGTAAACAGAAGTCGTATTTTAATGTAAGCCAGCTTATACTACTTATAATGAATGACAGTAAGTAGAACAATGAAAAAATCTTCGTTTTGTTTGTTTACTTTTATTTATTAGAATATTTTAACTTCTTCTTCTGTCTCTTCTTACTTATTCTGTCTAACTACACTTAAGTAACTACCTAACTAGCTAGCTAGCTAACTAACTAATAAATCTCACCAGGAATCAATCAATAATAACTGAATGAATTGACTAGCACTAAGTAATCCTTCGAAATTTGTGTGAAATACCAGTTAATTACTCTATACTGTATTTTTAGATATTGTTTTATTTTTAAGATTACATTAAATTATCTATGAGTATATTTATTACATAATATGTAGTCTTTTTTTAATTTATTTGAAGGGGCTAGAATGCAAATAAATTTACACTAATCAACAAACTAGTGTGTTAATAATTTCAATTTCGATCTTGCAGTGTTTACTTAATTTTTGTTAGTAGAGTAGATTTACTTTTGCTTAGGATATAATTGTTGTTAATTAAGCCTGTTATTTATGGCACTTTATGTAAACCGAAACAGATGTTTGTTATATTCTCAAATTCTTGATAGAAAAGATAGTGTTTCAAATATAAATTGTAGATGTTCACAACTTGCCTAAGAATCTTAAAAATACTTATTCTAACTATACGAGTTGTCCTTTGAAATGAGTTATTTTGTACAACACCACTTCTGATTTGACGAGTCTCTGAAACGACCACCTAACGCATATTATTTATTATTCTATTCCTTTACGTTCCCAGGGGAACATAGGGCTTCAAGCTAGATGTTTGAAGTTTCAGTAGCAATGGTGCTTATTTTTTTAGGGGATGGGATTGCTAGCCTTGTGACCAACCTGGTCTCTTTACTAGTCTTATTATTGGCTTAGTGAGATGAGGGAGTGCGTCGGCCAGGGAGATTTTAGTAATCAGTTTGAAATTACAATTAGTATTCATAAATTGTTGGAGGCAGTTAGCCAGAGGCAGTCGAAATAAACAGCTTTCCGTAGTAACATCCATGATTGGAGCACTGGACGATATGTGTTAAAATCTTGCAGAGGAAATCACTGCCTTTGGAGCTGTAGGTATGCCTAGCTAAGGAGTACCAAAAAATACGAAACACAGGTAGGTTTGAGGCTTCCTGTCGGGTGCTTCTAACCATCTACCATTGCTTCAAAAACTC